TTTGTCTTTTTTGTTTTATTCTAAGGAACGTTGACCAACAAAGGTCCAACTTTTTTTAAAAAAAAATTAATTTCAGTATCATTTCAAGGGGCCTTTTATAATTTCTAAAGATAGTCAATTTGATCTATTTTAAGCTGAAGTAAAAATGCTTTTAGTTAATGAAAAGAAACAAACTCTTTCGAAATACCGCGACGAAGCTATAAGCCACTTTAAAATCATGGAATATTTCAGTCTATTCGTGTATTTTTCATTCGGCTCTACGGTCATCAAATTGATTGCAGTTATAGTTTGATTTGAATCTTCATTGTTTTGAGGAGTGGACTAGTCTTGCACACACTGTCGTTGCTATTGTTATGAATGATATATTTAACAAATAAAGAAGCCTAAGCCGTATACTACACTGTGATAAAACACGACCGGTATTTGAGAGCACGAGGGAAATGTAGAAAATACGAGCCGAAAATATGTTTTATACTCTAATAAAACATGGGTTTTTGACCAGTCAGAGCGCGCGCAGGGTCCTATATTATAAACTCTGATAAAACATGGGTTTTTGACCAATCAGAGTGCTCAGGCCCCGGTTGTTCGAAAGCCGATTAGCGCTAACCCACGATTAAATCGCCCTAATCCACGGAATAAATTTGTCCTTCGATTTAAGTCTGTTCCTCGAAGCTCGATTAGCACTATCCAAGGATTGAACTAAGGGTTAAATTTAGCACACCTAGCGAGGTGGATTAACTCGCTAATCGGATGAAAAAGCAGACAAGCAAATTAAAATGGCGGACTTACAGTTTGTGGATTTTGCTTTAATGCGGGGCCGGGTAAGGAACGAAAAGCAATTCGGACTACCTGGTGACCTTTCCAAAATAGATGTTGCTATTCTCTCACGGACGAGCCATCCCGCGTCCGGTTTTCCCGCGGTTTTTCACAACCCTGTTCGTCCGCTGTTCGGCCGGATCTACAAAATGTTTTACACAACGAGGGCAAAGCAAGAACTCATGAGAAATTTCAACATTTCCGCTTTCAGAGGTAGAAATCCGGCGTCGCTTACTAGCCGCTGTAATGTAACAGGAAAGATCAGTGGTCAAATTAAAAGCTTTTTTGGCTTGATAAAGGGGAGAATTATGGACAAAATATTGTTAAAGTTTCGTTTACTGTCGACCTTGCTCGTTCTTCAAAAAGTTTATCTCATTCGGCAGAATTAAGATAATCAATCTCCGCTTTCGCTTCTTTGCTTAGTTTAAGGGTTTCCTCTTTTCTAGTATTTTCCCTTAGCCAAACTTACGCTCGACGCTCGTTCATAAAATCCTGACTGAAGTTCAGTTCTCTGACAGAACAGAGGCTCCTCGTAACATGGAGGCAGCGTGGCCAAGTGGTCAGCATGTTGGAGTCCTGGGTTCGAGTTCCGCTCTGATCAATACCTGGATTTGTTTCACGGTAGCCCCGAGTTCAAATCCTCGGCCACGCTTGCAAATAGCCAACTGGTTTGCCTTTGGTCAGTTGAAATTCTTAACAATGTTATGTTCAATTAGAATCAAATATTTATTTCAGTTGTTTGCTCGGCCCCACTAGCATTGTGCTATAAACATTGCCGAGGGTGTCTGGAAAACCCGAATAGCGAATGGAGAATAGTCGCAAATGGTCCCGAATAACGAATAGCGAATAGTACGAATAGTGCGAATAGTCTCGAATAGTGCGAATATTGGCGAACACTCTCGAATAGTGGCGAATAGTGGCAGATAGTGGCAGCTCGTAGCAAATAAGGTACTCAGTATCTCGCAGTCAACCTCGCAGCAACGTAGGATGGGATTTTCCCGCTAAAAAGCGCAGACGCTTGTCAGGACAAAAGGTGTTTCTTAGCGTAATTTCTTCTGTTTTAACCCCAGCAAAAGCGTAAATACGTCTTAATTAAGTTATCCTTGTGTTTTCTGATTTCTTAATGTCGACGATGGACAGCCTACTAGCCTGAGTCCGGAGAAGAAAAGGTAATAAATTCACTGAAATTCTGTTGCTTATTTAGATAATTAATTAACGCAGGATATTAGATCTAAAGCGGTGACTATTGACGACCATTCGTCATCTTGCTAACCGAGTTCGCGGGCCGTACTGTAAGTTACGGACCGATTTTTTTCGCCATCGATTTATGGCCCAAGCGCGCGCGGGCCATAAATCATTGTCAGAACATACACTGTAACAAAAACCTCTATTCAATGGCCACTTCTATTAAGCAGCCAGTTGTCTCATCATCAAGAGTGGTTGCTTCATAGAGGTTCGCCTGTGTAATATTAAAAGCTCTCTCAAACATAACTCCAAATATACTTTGAAGAATCAGTCATGCTAAGCTGACTGGATTTTAGAAGTTTATGGTATCTGAGGACACACTGTGTAGTTCCAGAACATGTTCATACCTCCCCCACAGATTGAGAAGGGATTTTTCCACCCCTCTGGAAACTCCCTCCTCTGGAGGGAGTATGGATATTTTCTGGAATTGCACATTATGTTGAATAAAGCATCAACTGAAATCTTGGAAAAATATCCGAGTTCCAAATGGTATTTGCATCCATGACTCTCGATGATCTAGCTGGATGCTCTAACCACTGAGCTACTGGAGACTGTATGGTGAGCAAGGGTGAAATGTGGGCCTTTGACTGGAACCTCATTGCATGGTCTCATAGCCAAATAATGACTTGGCACATATGAAGTCATAACTGCATCACACAATCAAAATGAGGCATATCAAAGATGTTACCAACCCTCCTTTACTTGATGCTATTTCTGTCATTTAATAAATTACTTATATTACTCACTTTAGAGGGTGCACACTATGAGTTTAAGAATATTCTAAAATACATGAAAAATTCCTGTGGGTACTAGAATAGATATTAAAGCATGTTGTCTACCTGAGAAACATATTTTGTGACCGTGAAAAGTCAAAGCCAACTATAATAAATTATGTTCCAGGCCGTCTCTTTAAGCCATACTCAGTGTAAACTTGTCCAATAATAACACCAGCCAGACAAAGCGCCGATAAAACGCTACCACCTTGAACATACACACTAACATTTTTCACAAACCAACTGGAATAAAAACCAAGGCAAAGAGTGATACATGCGACAAGATATACTAGAGAACCACATACAGCGTGCAGCTGTTTCAGTTGGCTAGGTTTCAACCTGCTGGCGAGCGGCAGCTTGGAGTACAAAACTCCAACACCCTGCAGAGATTGCAGACAGATGAGAATCACGGTACAGAACCCCAGGCTTCCATGCCAGCTTTGAAAATGAGCTTTGTTGTAAATATTCTTATTGTAGTAAATTGCGGCAAAACCTCCCAGTGCAGTGACCACAGCTGAGGTTTGAAGTATCCAGTGTATTTTGACCTTGGTGGCTCGAGGTGCTGAGGAGATGAGGGAACTTTGCGGTGAAAACATCAGGATAGCTTCAACCATAAGGAAACCAAACTGTGTAAAAAGAAATCAATTTTTGCCACAGAATATTCAATGCTATGTCATAATATCCAATGCTATGTCATCATGTACCACTGATGATGACCGTATGGTTGAAAACATTTTGGTTTTTAACATTCAATGCTATGTTCAAGTCAAATTTTCCCCCAGGGATAGGGGGCAAACATACCGTCAGGCTTTTGACACTTGAAAAATTACAACCAATAATATATTAATTTCTCCTTTTAGCTCTATACATACAGCTGTTGTTGCCTTTTCCCCAGGGTCAACTGATTGATCTGTGCAATGCCTTTGTGTTTTCATGGGCCCAGATGTAAACACTTGAGAGAGTGTGGAAGAATTTGATACTTACGTATGCAACACTTGCCAAATAAGTTACAAAAAATATTTTAATGTCAAAATCACATCCCTTGTTTTCATTCTTCCCTTCCCCTTGTCAGCCATGATTGGGAAACCAGCTGCTTAACTGAGCTGGCAGGAAATCCGCCCAGAAGAGTTTTTGTATATCTTTTCAAGCACCCTTAACCAATATTTTTTTTCAAAAGAGCGCACACCTTGCTGACTAAAAGCATGATTCTCATCATCTGTCAGCTTGACAATGTATCAACATCAAGTGGAGAATTCAGATTTTGGTCGCTATTAGGAATTACACTGAGTTGAAGCTGAACTATTTATAAATGATGCTAAAATTTATCAGCATTTGTTAGACAAGGATGTCTTTCAAGGCAAGGAATTGTTCATCTCTGCCTGGTTGTTTCTTATCTCGTGTATCAGGTATTTAGTTAGATATTTACTTACACTAAAGGCCATTAGAGTTGGGTGCCATGAAAACAGACCTGAATATAAACGAAAAAACACGAAAACAGTTGATCAGTAATAAGGCTCAACTTATCGGGAAATAAACTGTCTCTAGACACCTGGTAGCCTGACATTAAGGAACTCAAGAGAATTTCTAAAATGAATGAAATCTATGAAAACATTGCAAGGTGTTTTCCCAAAGCTGAAAGGGTTAATAATTGACAGATTTCTAGGCACAACTTACTTGATCCAGGTTGAGCGAGCCAGACGACAAGAACAGGAAGTCCTATAGCGACAATATGAACCATCTTGAAGACAACACTCCCTTGATCGTTCGTTCTTTTCTCGGGAACAAAATCTTCTGTTTCTGCGATCAACTCTTCTTTCATAGCTATATTTAGTAACCGGGCCTTTTGTAAGCTCAAAATTTCCATAGATGCTTTTCGCGCGTATAGATCCGGCACTGCACAGGTGCAGTCAAGTGCTGAGCGAGACCTTGGCCTTGGAATGGTTATTCTTTCAAGGTCGCTTTACAAGCTGTTAGGAAGTTAATTTATAGCAATACCCAGCTGTTGTATTCAGAACCCAGGAGTAGCTTGACAGCCCTGTAGCTTGACAGCCCTTACTGAACGCGGATCCACAGGATTTTCCCCCACCCCACCCCAGCCCTTTCCCGCCCGGAGGTACACTAGAACAGCTGAGAATAACTTAGAATGGTACCGTTTGACCAGCGTGCAGGAAATCCAAACTATCCATTCGAAACAGCGCTTTAATTTGTCTTCGAAAAACTTATTACAACTTTCTGACTTCAGAAGAAGCGGGAAACCCTCAACAGTATGCAAAATACAGCTGACAAAAAACTGGTCCCTTGACGATTATGTAATCGCGGTTGTGAAACTAATTAATATAATATTAGGGTTAGAATTTTAGGTTTAGGATCTTAGACAATTTTATTGGAATTTATTGTACCTGGTGAATTTTTAAGAGCAACATCACAACAACCCGGTCACGCAAGGTTTGCAGGGTGTAACAGACAAGTGACACGGTTGTCTCCCATTTTCAAGAAGACGTGTAGTAAAACTTCTGTGTTGTAAGATCCTCTCATTCTCTCGAGATGAACCCTTTTGGGCATGGAGAATCAAATCGCAGGCTCTGGAGCCGAAAATGGTTCAGTTCCTCGAGAAATATTGCGTGACAGACTGCTCTTTTGGTATTTTGACCAGCTGAACAGAAACACTACACGGCCTATCAGGTACTGATTCTTGGCATTACATGGACGAGATGATTACGATTCCATTAATTATATTATTGCCAGGAGGGAATTCGTGTCGCTCGAAGATCCATTTTGGCTCTTTTCCAGTCTCGTTCCCAGAGTCAGAAAACGAGAGCTCCTCTCGGTTTCCGACCGCTGGTCAAGGGGAACGAAGACTCTGGGGACGAGATTGGCTCTTTCCTCTTTTTCAGAGGGCCTCATCAGACGAATGCACTACTTACCTAGCTTAATGATAAGAAAGCCCCAGAAAATTGCCCAACCCCCCTTCCCACCTCTGAAAATATAATTATCTGTCCCTTAGTATAGAGTTTTGGTATTTTAAAAAAGAATATATTATCAACAGTCTCACCCTCCCCTACCCTCCCCTCTAAGTTGTTATAATACCCATCCGTCCACCATCCTTTCCTTCAAGACCTCTTGCCTTACTCACCCTGCCCAAGTCCGGTAAACAGAGCTGACAAGATATTTTACAGACATGGTCTGTCCTCGAAAAGTAAGCATGGATTAGCTTGGCTTACGAACATAGGCACTAGTGGGTAAGAATTTTTAACCTAACAAATAAGGCAAAGCCAAGAAAATGGAAACATGTTTGAAACTCAGCCATTTGCATTCAATTTGTTCTGTAAACAAAGCTAAACATGTTGGCTCTCCAACATTCCTACGAGCAAAGCGGAAACGGAGTTATAGATCTGTTCTCTTTAACAGCACAAGTGGAAGCGATCTTGTGGCTCTTTTTGTTTTAAAGTAATAATTTGGGAATTGATAAGTTGATAGTTATAATCAGAAAGAACGTTCGATCGCAGGAAAGAACGATTAAGAAGCCATTCAAATGTTTTATGTTTAGAATTTCCGTGACGGTCGCGCGTCACGGTAGAATTGAATCGTAATCAACTGCAATCGGTCTGTTTCCTCTTCAAGCTCCAGTAGAAGAGTGAATCAAATAAGAACTGCAAAATTACGAGGTGAGACCATCATAACAAGCTTGAACATATCCTTCATTGAGATTTTCTAACAAAAAATATTTAGATGCTTATCAGAATTTTGAACTAAAAAAATCTGACATCTCTCTTGTCTATAGCGATTGGATGAAATTGAGAAACTGGGTGTTGTGCCAATGATCCATGTAATTACAACTTTTTATGATAATGACGAGGTCATTCTTGAACTTTGTGTCATAAAGATACCGCATTTTCTTCCAATTCAAGCTTCTTCGACAAGAACGTATGCGGTGAAAATCTGGTGAATAGAACTCTCGTTATCAATGGCTTTTTTCAAGAAGGCGCAAAGAGACAGTTTGCCACCGGCTGACAGCACTGCTTGCCCTGTCTGCAAGGAAGAATACATGGACGAGCCGAAACTGCTACCTTGCTTGCACACGATCTGCCAGGACTGTCTGCGTGACATTGCGCCGAAAAGTGCCCTCAAGATCTTCTGTCCTATTGACGACCAAGAGCTACCTCTTCCGATGGGTGGAATTGCAATGCTTCCTACTGACTATCGCGTTTTGCGGTTTGTAGAAGCTAACCGCGGTCAAAATAACAAGGTTAAGACCGAGAGGAAACCGAGGGAACCCAGAAAGGAGAAACCAGAGCAGACAGACCGCAGAAAATCGAAAAAGACGGACGGGAAATCGGGTCCTACCATCGAAGAGCAAGAGGAACGCATGAGAAAGCAAGCTGCAGAGATGATAGAAAAGATGAGAAAATTATTAGATGGAAAGGAGAAAGAGCTCTACAAAAAAATCGACGAAGCAGTCGGCAGAGAGAAGCGAAGTCTGTCCATGAATGGCGCAAAAGACGAAAACAAAACACCCGCAATTTTCCTCCTGGATCTCACTCCAAGCCGTAAGATCATGCAGAACCTAAAGGACGAGGGTCTGGGCACCATTCAAGGCAATCGCAAGGCCCCTACCCTCCTCAGTGATTTAAATACTGCCGGTGTCACCCCCTCTGCGTCCATTAAAAATCCTCCCCCCAGTCCCACTTACCGTGACGCGGCTGACGTGATCCGTTCGTTGAACGTGCCGCTACAGTTTAAGACCATGTTTAATCCTGGAGCCGTGGCTGTGGGAAAAGACGGGCACATCGCTGTCACAGACTATGGAAATGAATGCGTGTGGCTTTTCAATGCCGAGGGATCATATCTCTGTCAGGTGAGCCCTTTCGCTATGTTCTTAAAGAAATGTATTAACAAAACTTGGTGAAACCATAGACCTAGTCTTCTATCTTGGTAAGAATAGCATAAGAAATAAAACCAACNTTTCATTCCAGGAAATTTTCATGATCGTTTTTTGCTAACAACACGCTCAGTCTGCGTTTACGCATTTCTGACCGCAACTCTATTTAGTCAACAAAACTAGCCCCTCAGGTCATTTACTAACCGCTCCTTCGCCTTTACTCTGAACCTTGCAGTTGATCATTCATAGCGAACGTGGAAGCTGAGGACTCGTAGACTTGATTTAAACACTTTATTTCTTAACTGCAAGAATAACAATTATATTAACATTTACTTTTTGACTGAAATGAGTTACTGAAAAGTTAGGTTATAGAGTAATAGACATCAAATACATGATATAAACATCAATCCTTTTATACTAACACTACAAACGTCCAGAATTGACGCCCTCAACATCTTTGATACAAAGATTCCTTTGATATTGAGATCTACGACTGGCTTAAGCTTTCAAACTTAACAGTGCTTGAATGTTAATAATTTCTTTCAAACGTTGTAAGCAACATACCATAACACTTGTTTTGAATTTCCTATTGGATGCTATGACTGTTTGTTCAAAGATTTTGCTCCCGATTATTTGACAAAGTCTTTTAGACATTGCTTTGTACAACATGCTAATATAATGTGGCAGCTTTTCATATAAATTAGATGATATCAATTTAATTGACAAACCTTATTTACCATTTCAAATTAAAATAGGTAGAGTTTTGAATACAAACTTTTCTAAAAATAAAAATCGGCAAGTTAATTCAATGATGAATTTTTCATTACTCTTGTTTTTAAAATTTCATATATAGCCCTTAGATGTCAAATTAACTACAGTCGAACCTCCATTAAGCGGCCCCCTAGCCTATTAAGCAGTCAACCTTTATTTGGGGGTCAGCGGCCAAAGTCCCAGAAAAATTTGTCAGAACATACACTGTAACAAAAACCTCTATTCAATGGCCACTTCTATTAAGCAGCCAGTTGTCTCATCATCAAGAGTGGTTGCTTCATAGAGGTTCGCCTGTGTAATATTAAAAGCTCTCTCAAACATAACTCCAAATATACTTTGAAGAATCAGTCATGCTAAGCTGACTGGATTTTAGAAGTTTATGGTATCTGAGGACACACTGTGTAGTTCCAGAACATGTTCATACCTCCCCCACAGATTGAGAAGGGATTTTTCCACCCCTCTGGAAACTCCCTCCTCTGGAGGGAGTATGGATATTTTCTGGAATTGCACATTATGTTGAATAAAGCATCAACTGAAATCTTGGAAAAATATCCGAGTTCCAAATGGTATTTGCATCCATGACTCTCGATGATCTAGCTGGATGCTCTAACCACTGAGCTACTGGAGACTGTATGGTGAGCAAGGGTGAAATGTGGGCCTTTGACTGGAACCTCATTGCATGGTCTCATAGCCAAATAATGACTTGGCACATATGAAGTCATAACTGCATCACACAATCAAAATGAGGCATATCAAAGATGTTACCAACCCTCCTTTACTTGATGCTATTTCTGTCATTTAATAAATTACTTATATTACTCACTTTAGAGGGTGCACACTATGAGTTTAAGAATATTCTAAAATACATGAAAAATTCCTGTGGGTACTAGAATAGATATTAAAGCATGTTGTCTACCTGAGAAACATATTTTGTGACCGTGAAAAGTCAAAGCCAACTATAATAAATTATGTTCCAGGCCGTCTCTTTAAGCCATACTCAGTGTAAACTTGTCCAATAATAACACCAGCCAGACAAAGCGCCGATAAAACGCTACCACCTTGAACATACACACTAACATTTTTCACAAACCAACTGGAATAAAAACCAAGGCAAAGAGTGATACATGCGACAAGATATACTAGAGAACCACATACAGCGTGCAGCTGTTTCAGTTGGCTAGGTTTCAACCTGCTGGCGAGCGGCAGCTTGGAGTACAAAACTCCAACACCCTGCAGAGATTGCAGACAGATGAGAATCACGGTACAGAACCCCAGGCTTCCATGCCAGCTTTGAAAATGAGCTTTGTTGTAAATATTCTTATTGTAGTAAATTGCGGCAAAACCTCCCAGTGCAGTGACCACAGCTGAGGTTTGAAGTATCCAGTGTATTTTGACCTTGGTGGCTCGAGGTGCTGAGGAGATGAGGGAACTTTGCGGTGAAAACATCAGGATAGCTTCAACCATAAGGAAACCAAACTGTGTAAAAAGAAATCAATTTTTGCCACAGAATATTCAATGCTATGTCATAATATCCAATGCTATGTCATCATGTACCACTGATGATGACCGTATGGTTGAAAACATTTTGGTTTTTAACATTCAATGCTATGTTCAAGTCAAATTTTCCCCCAGGGATAGGGGGCAAACATACCGTCAGGCTTTTGACACTTGAAAAATTACAACCAATAATATATTAATTTCTCCTTTTAGCTCTATACATACAGCTGTTGTTGCCTTTTCCCCAGGGTCAACTGATTGATCTGTGCAATGCCTTTGTGTTTTCATGGGCCCAGATGTAAACACTTGAGAGAGTGTGGAAGAATTTGATACTTACGTATGCAACACTTGCCAAATAAGTTACAAAAAATATTTTAATGTCAAAATCACATCCCTTGTTTTCATTCTTCCCTTCCCCTTGTCAGCCATGATTGGGAAACCAGCTGCTTAACTGAGCTGGCAGGAATTCCGCCCAGAAGAGTTTTTGTATATCTTTTCAAGCACCCTTAACCAATATTTTTTTTCAAAAGAGCGCACACCTTGCTGACTAAAAGCATGATTCTCATCATCTGTCAGCTTGACAATGTATCAACATCAAGTGGAGAATTCAGATTTTGGTCGCTATTAGGAATTACACTGAGTTGAAGCTGAACTATTTATAAATGATGCTAAAATTTATCAGCATTTGTTAGACAAGGATGTCTTTCAAGGCAAGGAATTGTTCATCTCTGCCTGGTTGTTTCTTATCTCGTGTATCAGGTATTTAGTTAGATATTTACTTACACTAAAGGCCATTAGAGTTGGGTGCCATGAAAACAGACCTGAATATAAACGAAAAAACACGAAAACAGTTGATCAGTAATAAGGCTCAACTTATCGGGAAATAAACTGTCTCTAGACACCTGGTAGCCTGACATTAAGGAACTCAAGAGAATTTCTAAAATGAATGAAATCTATGAAAACATTGCAAGGTGTTTTCCCAAAGCTGAAAGGGTTAATAATTGACAGATTTCTAGGCACAACTTACTTGATCCAGGTTGAGCGAGCCAGACGACAAGAACAGGAAGTCCTATAGCGACAATATGAACCATCTTGAAGACAACACTCCCTTGATCGTTCGTTCTTTTCTCGGGAACAAAATCTTCTGTTTCTGCGATCAACTCTTCTTTCATAGCTATATTTAGTAACCGGGCCTTTTGTAAGCTCAAAATTTCCATAGATGCTTTTCGCGCGTATAGATCCGGCACTGCACAGGTGCAGTCAAGTGCTGAGCGAGACCTTGGCCTTGGAATGGTTATTCTTTCAAGGTCGCTTTACAAGCTGTTAGGAAGTTAATTTATAGCAATACCCAGCTGTTGTATTCAGAACCCAGGAGTAGCTTGACAGCCCTGTAGCTTGACAGCCCTTACTGAACGCGGATCCACAGGATTTTCCCCCACCCCACCCCAGCCCTTTCCCGCCCGGAGGTACACTAGAACAGCTGAGAATAACTTAGAATGGTACCGTTTGACCAGCGTGCAGGAAATCCAAACTATCCATTCGAAACAGCGCTTTAATTTGTCTTCGAAAAACTTATTACAACTTTCTGACTTCAGAAGAAGCGGGAAACCCTCAACAGTATGCAAAATACAGCTGACAAAAAACTGGTCCCTTGACGATTATGTAATCGCGGTTGTGAAACTAATTAATATAATATTAGGGTTAGAATTTTAGGTTTAGGATCTTAGACAATTTTATTGGAATTTATTGTACCTGGTGAATTTTTAAGAGCAACATCACAACAACCCGGTCACGCAAGGTTTGCAGGGTGTAACAGACAAGTGACACGGTTGTCTCCCATTTTCAAGAAGACGTGTAGTAAAACTTCTGTGTTGTAAGATCCTCTCATTCTCTCGAGATGAACCCTTTTGGGCATGGAGAATCAAATCGCAGGCTCTGGAGCCGAAAATGGTTCAGTTCCTCGAGAAATATTGCGTGACAGACTGCTCTTTTGGTATTTTGACCAGCTGAACAGAAACACTACACGGCCTATCAGGTACTGATTCTTGGCATTACATGGACGAGATGATTACGATTCCATTAATTATATTATTGCCAGGAGGGAATTCGTGTCGCTCGAAGATCCATTTTGGCTCTTTTCCAGTCTCGTTCCCAGAGTCAGAAAACGAGAGCTCCTCTCGGTTTCCGACCGCTGGTCAAGGGGAACGAAGACTCTGGGGACGAGATTGGCTCTTTCCTCTTTTTCAGAGGGCCTCATCAGACGAATGCACTACTTACCTAGCTTAATGATAAGAAAGCCCCAGAAAATTGCCCAACCCCCCTTCCCACCTCTGAAAATATAATTATCTGTCCCTTAGTATAGAGTTTTGGTATTTTAAAAAAGAATATATTATCAACAGTCTCACCCTCCCCTACCCTCCCCTCTAAGTTGTTATAATACCCATCCGTCCACCATCCTTTCCTTCAAGACCTCTTGCCTTACTCACCCTGCCCAAGTCCGGTAAACAGAGCTGACAAGATATTTTACAGACATGGTCTGTCGTCGAAAAGTAAGCATGGATTAGCTTGGCTTACGAACATAGGCACTAGTGGGTAAGAATTTTTAACCTAACAAATAAGGCAAAGCCAAGAAAATGGAAACATGTTTGAAACTCAGCCATTTGCATTCAATTTGTTCTGTAAACAAAGCTAAACATGTTGGCTCTCCAACATTCCTACGAGCAAAGCGGAAACGGAGTTATAGATCTGTTCTCTTTAACAGCACAAGTGGAAGCGATCTTGTGGCTCTTTTTGTTTTAAAGTAATAATTTGGGAATTGATAAGTTGATAGTTATAATCAGAAAGAACGTTCGATCGCAGGAAAGAACGATTAAGAAGCCATTCAAATGTTTTATGTTTAGAATTTCCGTGACGGTCGCGCGTCACGGTAGAATTGAATCGTAATCAACTGCAATCGGTCTGTTTCCTCTTCAAGCTCCAGTAGAAGAGTGAATCAAATAAGAACTGCAAAATTACGAGGTGAGACCATCATAACAAGCTTGAACATATCCTTCATTGAGATTTTCTAACAAAAAATATTTAGATGCTTATCAGAATTTTGAACTAAAAAAATCTGACATCTCTCTTGTCTATAGCGATTGGATGAAATTGAGAAACTGGGTGTTGTGCCAATGATCCATGTAATTACAACTTTTTATGATAATGACGAGGTCATTCTTGAACTTTGTGTCATAAAGATACCGCATTTTCTTCCAATTCAAGCTTCTTCGACAAGAACGTATGCGGTGAAAATCTGGTGAATAGAACTCTCGTTATCAATGGCTTTTTTCAAGAAGGCGCAAAGAGACAGTTTGCCACCGGCTGACAGCACTGCTTGCCCTGTCTGCAAGGAAGAATACATGGACGAGCCGAAACTGCTACCTTGCTTGCACACGATCTGCCAGGACTGTCTGCGTGACATTGCGCCGAAAAGTGCCCTCAAGATCTTCTGTCCTATTGACGACCAAGAGCTACCTCTTCCGATGGGTGGAATTGCAATGCTTCCTACTGACTATCGCGTTTTGCGGTTTGTAGAAGCTAACCGCGGTCAAAATAACAAGGTTAAGACCGAGAGGAAACCGAGGGAACCCAGAAAGGAGAAACCAGAGCAGACAGACCGCAGAAAATCGAAAAAGACGGACGGGAAATCGGGTCCTACCATCGAAGAGCAAGAGGAACGCATGAGAAAGCAAGCTGCAGAGATGATAGAAAAGATGAGAAAATTATTAGATGGAAAGGAGAAAGAGCTCTACAAAAAAATCGACGAAGCAGTCGGCAGAGAGAAGCGAAGTCTGTCCATGAATGGCGCAAAAGACGAAAACAAAACACCCGCAATTTTCCTCCTGGATCTCACTCCAAGCCGTAAGATCATGCAGAACCTAAAGGACGAGGGTCTGGGCACCATTCAAGGCAATCGCAAGGCCCCTACCCTCCTCAGTGATTTAAATACTGCCGGTGTCACCCCCTCTGCGTCCATTAAAAATCCTCCCCCCAGTCCCACTTACCGTGACGCGGCTGACGTGATCCGTTCGTTGAACGTGCCGCTACAGTTTAAGACCATGTTTAATCCTGGAGCCGTGGCTGTGGGAAAAGACGGGCACATCGCTGTCACAGACTATGGAAATGAATGCGTGTGGCTTTTCAATGCCGAGGGATCATATCTCTGTCAGGTGAGCCCTTTCGCTATGTTCTTAAAGAAATGTATTAACAAAACTTGGTGAAACCATAGACCTAGTCTTCTATCTTGGTAAGAATAGCATAAGAAATAAAACCAACCCTATCCCAAATCAATGACGGATGTCCAAAACGCGCCATTTTTCCATCACTGAAATGGGGGGAGGGGAGGGGTGGTCTTAATTTCGACGACAAGCTGTCACGAGGAGCGCTCCCATATAAAAAGGAAGTGGTGCTCGTTGGAAATTTTGAAAACAGCGAGCCCATAATAGGTACCAAGATCCTGTTTTGTGGGCGTGGCTTGAATTTTGTTTTTTTACCCCTAATTACCTAATTACCTACT